ATGAATAAATTGTGTTAATTTAACTCAATTGTTTAAGTTGCTGCCAAAGCAAAACATCTGTGTGCAACAAATGTCCACCATTGAATTAAGTAAATCCAACAACATATTTTTTTCAGTGTACGCTGTGTCAGTGAGGGAGTAACTTGGCTCCAGTTCCTGTTGATGAAGTAATATGGACAGTACCACAGTCTGTACTGTCCTGATCATCTGCACATACTTGTTGTACTATAGCACAGTTAACATTTTTGATTTGCAATGCTGCATTACTCATTCACAGAGTGTCACATACTGCTCTTTAGCTCCTTCCTTAACAAGCAGCTCTTCCTGTTTCACGCTGAGTGCTTGGCGAGCCCGTGCACATCCTGAAACGATTATGTCATATTTTGCAGGAGCAGGTTCACACACACTGCTGCTCGGCGTCATCGTCAACATGCAAATAGCATGACAACAGGCCCTAACCCTGAGCCATGCCCGTGGAGCAACATGAGCTTCCAGAACAGGATGATTTATATTGTGCGATCATTGACCACAGAGCAGCCTGCATCCTTTCCTGCGACTCATGTTCCAGCACATCCATCGTGTTTCTGTCACTCTAACGTAGCGTCTGTGTCATTCTTGTCTTACCTTTCCGGATGCTCTCTTCGATTTCGTGGTCGAAGGCCAGCCGATGGCATTTCCTCCACAGCCCCATGTTGGTGGAGTTATACTGCCTACTACATTCATCTGCGGCGCTCATGGCGAACAGCTGCCGTCTGTTCCGGGCCAAAAGCAGCTTCTCTTGCCATCGGGACACGCTGCTCCGGCTGGCCCGCAGCGGTAGGCTGTTGTTGGGGATGTAGATGAAGCCCGGGTCCTTGCGGCGGCTGGAAAAGCTTCGGCACCGCTCCCTGTACCGTCTGGCGTCTGTCTCGTACCAGTGGTCGGAGCACATCGCCACGGCCAGCATGCCCAGGGCGCAAAGAGAAAGAGAGAGGCCGGCGTAGAGCAGTAACTTCCCCGCAGCCATGCTCGGTTCTGTCACAGCCGCATCAGCACCTCGACAGACGGACAGCTCCTCTGCGGCTTCCCCACCGCTTCAACTCACATCACCTCTGGAGAGCAGCGTCGGGACCATCCTCCGGGTGACCTTTATGTACAAACGGAAGGCGAACCTTTCCGGCGGCACAGTCTGCAGGCAAATACGTTTAATCCCCGGACGCGGAGGTTTTCGGTGATAAAGTGCCCACGTCCGTCCTGCGTGCGCGGCGCTGCAGCACCTCGGCGGAGAGAAAAAGACGCTTATCTCATTTCAGCTCCCAGCCACGGATCCGTCTGTCTGATAGGGCGACACCATCAAGCACAAAACACATCAGCACGCCGCTAAGGGTTTAGTTAAACATGTAGTAGGCCATACGTGACACGAACCACTGCATAACCCACCCACTGACAGTAACGATGAACGAGGAAGACTGCAAACATGCAACGAGTGATTTATACAGCCGTATTTACCGAATGTAAGGGTGCGATTGAACGAGCACGAACATGCACCACCTCTAACGTGCAGCTCATAGTTTAGAGAACCAACCTGATGTGTCCACAGAGCCCACGCAGACCGCAGCCCACCAGCCAGAGCACAGCGCAGGGGTATCAGCGCCACAGTCAGCATCCCCAGCACGTCTGAGGGGATGACGGCAGCTGCTACACAGCAGGCCTGTGCGCTGACCAATCAGCACCCGTCTGTCTGGAGCAGCGCCGTCAGCTCACGGCTACATGACTACAGCTGGCCGCGTGAAATCTCCAGTCAGGTTTTATTTTTGATTCGGATTCAACTTTATTGTCATTACAGTTTGAATCTAATCACACGTGCAAGAGCAGTAAGAGCAATAGGAGCAGATTATATACCAATACGGGTAGGAATAAAGGTGGGAATAGTTATGAACAGATTTTGTACAAATAAGTTAAGTATACAGATGTTTATATTGCTATACAGACGGGCAGATTTACAGGTATTGTATGAACAAATATACAGATGTGCTACAGATGTATCGATCTGTGGTAACCAGATCTACAGAGTGCTGCACTGACATTCACTTAAACGGAAAAATCCAACGAAGCAGCGATGGAGGCGGAGTGGATTCCTCACAGTGTTAGAACATTCTGCTTGAAACACTGAAAGCTGAGCCGTTCCCTTCAAACTAATGGGGGGGGGGGGGGGAACAGGAATTTCTGCTGTGAAGTTTCCAAATGTGATCAAGTGAAATAGGTTTTCAGTTGTTTCTAGTGTTTTGCCTCAATAAATGCTTCCTGCAGGTATACAACATACGTTTGACACAGTCACGTGACCATGCATCGCTTCAGCTCCTGAACAGGCTGCTGTCAGTCATAGTGTTTAAAGCATATGTTGGTGGACTGACCAGCAGCAGCTGGTATTACTGTTCTTCTGAGTGTTTATTGGTGGAGACATTCACCTCAAAGGTGGTTTTGATAACTATGGTCCATGTAATGGACTTTATATTGGTATTGATCAGGCTTCACTATCGCGCTTGCAAATGGTCCAGAATGCTGCTGCTCGCCTGTTGACAGGGACACGCAAACATGAGCACATTACCCCTGTTCTTGCCTCCTTACACTGGTTGCCTGTCCATTTTAGAATTCATTTTAAAATTTTATTGCTTCCTTTTAAAGTCTTAAATGGCCTGGCTCCGTCTTACCGGTCAGACCTTTTACACCAATACACTCCACAAAGATCTCTCAGATCATCTGACCAGTCACTCCTTGCTGTCCCCATGTCGAGACTGAAACACCGAGGGGACCGAGCTTTCGCTGTTGTGGCCCCCAAACTATGGAACGAACTGCCCCTCCATATCAGGCTGGCCCCAACACTTGAAATGTTTAAATCACTTTTAAAGACACACTTTTTTTCAAAGGCTTTCTAGGAGTATTATCAGAGTCAGTTTGTAGTCCGTTTTTAGTCAGCTGTTGATCATTCTTAATCTTTCTACCTTGTTAATCTTATTCATTGTATATCTTATTGTTTATTCTACTCATGTTGTGATATTTAATATATACACTGATTTATTTTTATCTTTTTTAATTATATATTTATTTTGTTTATTGATTTCATTGTATGCTTAAAGTATGGTTTTTAACTGCTATCTCTGTTTTATTATTGGAAAGCACTTTGGTCAACTTGTTGTTTTTAAAAGTGCTATATAAATAAAGTTGGATTGGATTGGATGTTCATGTCTGTGTGGCTCAAACATTTTGGGTCACATTAAAATGAAGGGACAGCTGAAACCAAGTAGTGTTGGTTCTTAAACTTTTCATCACCCATAAAGAATATGCCATATTCTGCAGAAACCGGCTATTTTAGGACCCAGAAGAGCTGCTTTTCAGTTAATGTAGGCAATATTGATATTAGTATGTTGTATGCTGTTTATTTAGCCTGACACATTTGTTTTGGAGGTGCTTGAGCACTGCAGCACAAAAAGACATTGAGTGACATATTTAGAAGGAAGCTAAAGGAATTTATGATTGGTCATAATTATGCTGATCGAAGCTGCTTAAATAATTCACTGAGGTACATAAAAAATGCACATTTTAAAAAATTTGGACTGAAAACATCCAGAACAATCTTTCTGTTTCTTCATATCTGGCGCCATCTTCTGTTATTAAAGAGCAATAGACTCCAGGTGCCACCTAGAGCTGCAATCAATTCAGTGACGATTCAAAAGATCCATTCAACTTCTCAAAGTAGCTTCGGCTTAAATGAAAATTGGGAAAAAACTGAACAGAATGAAAAATAATAAATGGTAAAGTATTGATCGAGAGTGAAAGCACAGTCAAAACACAGAGCAGTGTCTGCAGGAAGCTGGCAGGAAACGCTGTGTGTGGCAGGCACATTTGCAGACCCAAATTTCAGACAGCAGACGGGACTGTGCTCGGAAACTGGAACTGGCAAATACCAACAGACAGGTTCAAACAGAGAACTGACACTTAGACAGGACACACAGTAAGAGGGAGACAGACACTAAATACAAGAGGGAATCAGGACAAAGAGGAAACACCTGGAGAACACGGCTGGCAACAGTCTAAGAGGTGAGACGGGGACAAGTGGCTGCAGAATAAAACAGGACACACAAACTGAGGCGCAGACTGACTAAAATACAGGGAACAAAGGGAGAGGGCCAAGAGAGGTGAGAGAAAGCAGACAGACACATAGAAACATGACTGGGAAACAGGCAACTACACCTGGAGAAGAGGAAGACTTCACAGGGAAGGATACAGAGACGAGACCAGGACATGAAAAGGGGCCTAATAACAAACAACACAACCTAAACTAGAAATACAGAGAATAAGGAAAAACAGTCACACAGGGAGCCCAACAATATTAAACAAGACCCTAACAGAACCCTGCTGGAACGGCTCTACATTTAAAATCTTCAGTTGGTAGAAAACAAAATGAAAATGTAATTCTAATGAGCTAAGTCGAAAAAGAAAGAAACGCTGACAAAATACAAATAAAGGAAGAACTTCACAGCCTTTATGTTTACTCAGCAAACGAATTCGCTTTGCTGTGTCGACTTAGTTTAAGAAATTCATCCAACGTTTGTCAGAGTAAACATTACTCATCTTTCACATGTACTCAGTGGTTTAACATAAGAATCCTCAAACTGTCTTCCTTCACTACACCTTTTTACCATGATAAAGTGGTAGGGTGCATACCATTAGTGTTGCCTGTATGCACTCTACATGAGCATCTTCACCGTTCTGCTATCCTGTTCAACTTGGTCAGAGCCATCGTCCCCCTCTCCATCATGCTAATGCTCATGCTAACTGAATTATTTAAAACTTTTTCAAACTCCATCTTCTCGACGTCACACTTGTTGCCCAAGGCTGTTAGCAAGAGAATCCCATTTATTATGATGCTAAATTACTGAAGCTCGTTTACTGGCTAATGCTACAGTTGAGGCCAAAATTATTAGCCCCCCAGGAATTTTGGATCATTTTGCTAAACTTTTGCCCAATGTCTGCAGCATTGATGAAACTTGATATAATCAAACATTCACCAGCGCTATTTAGTAGCTTTCGGTACATTATAAAATGCATTTCTAGGCTTGCTTTATATCAAATATAATAAAAAAAATGGGGTGGTCAAAAATATTAGCCCTATGTGAATGTTTGCTTTCAAAACTCCTTGATCAATTCACCAATCAGCTTTGAAACCACAGGTGTGCAGTCAACTGGCTTCCTAACAACATTCAATCAGCATAGAAAGGGTCCAAGGAACAGGGACTTGAACACATGAGAGTTACTGTTACTGACCGTTGCCAAAGACAAAGGAAATAATTCTGGAGCTCAGAAAAAAGATAGTAGAGGCTCGTTATAAAGGGCAAGGCTACATTGCCATTTCCAAGCAATTCACAGTGTCTAGAAATGCTGTATGTTGCATCATTGCCAAGTACAAGGAGACGAATTCTGTAAGAAACAAACCTGGCCGTGGCCGTAAGCACAAGATTTCAAGAACTCTGGAGAGGAAAATAGTCAAAGATGTCAGCAAGGAACCCCGGACATCTGCATCTGGAGTTGATGTTTCAAGGAACACAGTTGTGACGGCTCTTCATTGACTTCAGCAGCATCGTCCCAGAACATCCCCTTTACTCAAAGAGCAGCACATCGTAGCCCGACTGAGGTTTGCCCATGAACATTTGAAAGGTAAAGATGAGTTTTGGTAGTCTGTGCTTTGATCTGATGAGACTAAACTGGAACTGTCTCAGCACAGTTGTTGCTTATGTTTGGCGAAGAAAGGCACAGGCCTTCAACCCCAGGAACACAGTTGGGAACATCATGCTGTGAGGCTGTTTTGGCGCCTCGGGCACAGGAAGCCTTGTTTGGTTGCATGACATCATGAAAAAAGAAATTATGTTGACATTTTGAAGGAGAATTTGCAGAAATCTGCTCATAGTCTAGGCTTAGGTCATCGCTGGGTCTTCCAGCAAGACAATGACCCAAAGCATGCATCAAAAGTAGTCCAACAGTTCCTCAAGGATACCAAAAGCAAGATCCTGGAGTGGACCATTCAATTTGGAGCAGCTAGAACAGTTTGCAATGGAGGAATAGGCCAAAATCCCTCAGGAGACCTGTGCCAACCTTGTAAAGAGATTGTTGTCAGTTGTGGCTCAGAAAGGGTACAGTATTGACTATTACAGTTTTTTACAGACGCTAGGACACATGTCTCAATACTTAGGTCACGTTTGCAAAACTCCTCACACAGTGAGCACAACAGAAGTCTA